TTTTGGCTTTACGGCCTTTTAGTCATGGGCTGAAGTTAGCAACAGGTTTTTAGTCACGGGCTGAAGTTAGTTTAAGTTTGATGACAGTTGTCAAATGTCATGCAATCGTTAAAATAAAGTGCCCTTCTTGTAAAATAATACTAAATGTGAAAATTATTTTATTATCTCAATTTAATGTTTTTGCTTTCTAGCAAAAACATTTGCTTTTACCTACAGGATGTATTTTTTATTTTCCTTAAAATGCCTTTTAAACTTGTATTATTGGCAAAAACTGTTAATAATATTATAATATGTATATTCAATTTGAAATACCCATGTTGCTCTTTTTTCCCTCCATTTCATTTTCTTCTATGTTTAATAGTATATTTCTGGGCACAAAAATAAATAGAGTGTAAATTTCCTCTCAGAAAAAAAGACCCCCTACCTTGTTGAGCCCTTTACCCAAAACCTACTGTTTCTATTTTTAAGATCAAGCCCATAATTCAAAAATTTAAAAGCAGAAACATGGTTTAAAATTCAAAATTATTCAAAATTATTTATAACAATTTTGGTTTTATTTTATAATCTTTATTATTTATTAAATAGTATTTTTTAATAATTATCTATAATATAATACCTATAATTATATTAAAAAGTAAACATTTATGTTTTTAATTAAAAAAAATAAATCAATAAATATATAGTACAATGTTAGACGTAATTATTTTACAATGAAACCAAAGAAAGTTTTTTTTCATATATATTTACAAACAAAAATACTGTCTATTTTTATTGATATTTTAAATCACCGATTTACATTTTAGATGATTTTGGCCAAAAAACAAATCTAGTAAACCATGACTAATTTAAAATGTTAAATTATAGAAAATATAAACGTTGAAAGATAATAACCTAATTTATTTTATAAAACCACAGTTTTTAAAGAAATATACTGCGTTGCCATATCGTGCAAAAACCTATATCCACTAATATGCTAAATCAGTTGATATAAATAAATCAACGTTTTTGCATACGGCCCTAAGTGATCTTTAAAATACTTATTGACAAGCTGTGACCCTATGGAGTGTTTAAGTCAAGGGTAAAAGCTAGAAGCAGTGGCTAATTTCGGTTGGAGTACTCATAAATCATCCTCTTCACTTTTACTGTAAAAAACTGCTTCATTATTTTTAAAATACTATTTGTGGTATAAATAGTTTAGTACCTATGCAACTTGTTTATAAACCTTTTTTTTTAAACATTCGATCGCAAGTTGCGTGCCTAATTAAAATTCGTAACTAAAATCATACATAATATACTATTTTTAGTATAGGTTCTTTAAAAAAACTAAGTAAAAGTACCAAATTTTAGAAAAAATCGCATACAACGTTTTAAATTTTGGTATGTTTGTATTTTGTCATATAAACAAGGAAAAAGTTACTCTTGAAACAACAATATTTGTTAAACTTAAAAAATAATATATAATAATAATAATAATATATATGTAATGATATCGAATCATTTTGGATGCGGCTGCTTTTTAAATCGGTTTCGGTTTCTTTTTATTCCGGAAAGTGAAAGAAGCTCGAGGCGGCACTTCTCGGTCAATGTCGTGGATTAGGATCAGTATTCAAAATCTATAGCGATTACACGGAATATTATCGATATGATAATTTAAAAAATATACTCGTACATCACAATAGATTATATTTATATAAAATAAGTTATACTTATTTAATTTTTTTATATTTTTTAAATATTGTTAATAAAAAAAATTATTGCTTGCAAAGATTGGCCAACTTTTTATTATGTTATTTATATTTTCCCGAATGTATTTCTTGGTATTTTGATTAAAGTAACCACTTAAGAAACAAGATTTTAACACCTTTTAGGGTATGCAACATCCGGCATTTAACGCAAGCAAATTTAACAAGAACTTTTCACATATCTTTCGTAAAACACACTTATCTCATCGAACAATTAGAATAAGAATTTCATCAGCACCATCAATCTTGACGCACTTGACAGCCAACGTGATTATTATTTCTTGCAGTCGGCAGTTATTTTTTCGTTTGTTAACCTATAGGTAACTTTGCAGGAGGTCCGAACTTTTTTCCTGCTGTCCCGCCCGCATCTCCGCCTATGGTGCGGTCAAATTGTTTTGGGAACGTCTCACTCGTTATATCCGGGTTTAACATATATGTATACCTATTTATGTAATAGTAGAATAAAGGGAGAACCTTTATGTTTAGAAAAACGGTTTAACATACCAACTTGCGCAGTATGTTTTCCAAAACAAAATTATCATTAAAATTCTTTATTACACGTCCGGAAACGTTATTTAATAGATGGTTTAGTTTTGTTTTTAAAGGCGTTTCTAATATATTAGTAATTCTTTTCAAGCCCTATCACTTTCACTGATTTTGGTGATTTTAATTTAAATGTCAAAAAGTTTATTGGCTTCTTTATACGTACATAACTATTTCATTGGTTTTAATTTAACCGAGCAGGAAATGCCAATTAAAAATAAAATCTGCAGATAAAATAATCGAAAAGAAATTGTAAATAAGTTTTTTTAGTGCACGTCACTTAAAATTATTGGACTGATAATCCAATTTTTAAATTGGGATAGGCATAAATTATCACAAAATTTTTTAAATTATTAATTATTATTAATTACATTATTAAATAACATTTTTAAGGATAAATGAGCTGTATTAATTTATTTTTATAAATTTTTGTGACAAAAATTATAGCCATTTTAATCACGAATTTTAATAAGGCGCGAGCGAGTGTTTAATTAAATGTGTCTACAAAAGATTTTTTATATCTGTGATACAATTGCTGTGTGCAGTCCCGGTTGCATAGTATGTACCGATTGCGGCAAAGGCCACGTCGTTTGACGGTGTGGATCACCTGATGTTCTTACATCTCGCTTCTGTTGACTTAACAACTGAGCATATAGGCTCAGGGAGTAATTTGTTTTGATTGTGTTCCACTACACCAAGTTGCCCGACACTGATGAGACCCAATAAAGGTCGAAACAGCTGTCTGTCGGTATTTGAAGTTGGTGGAACGCATTCAAAACAAAAAACTTTGGCGAGGTGTAGGTTCAATTTTTTCTTAAGATAGCTTTTTTGTTAAAGCGTCAAAAATATGTCTACGCCTATGCCTACTGACTCAATAGGCACACAATATTTTATTTAACTACTGCAAGAAATTTGTCTAAGAGTGTAAAAACAAATTATCAACAATTAAAGAATTTTATCAGTTAACTGTCAAGCAGTTTTAACCTCACTTTTTTTTTAATCTGACATCTGTCAAACTGTTTTTAACCTCTTAACTTAATACACCATGGGCCAGTATATTTCCCCTCCTTTAAATTTACCAGACAGATAACTAGCAAAGTTACAATTATTAAATTAATTTGTTTGCGACTCACCCCTGTAAAATCTTTATGTATTGTGCGATTTTAACCGGATTTATTTTAAAGTGTAGATCTTGATAAACTGTATTTTTGAAGCAAAAAACGCCATATTTTTACAAAATACAAGGCCTACTTTGTCAGTTTTTAAGAGTAAATTTTTAAGAATTCATATTATCGATTTTTTTTAAACAAAATAAAAGCACGGCACTGGATTCACCACCCCCTTAAAACGACCCCGACTAAATTTTTTTGATAAATTTTAAGAAAAATGCATGAAAAGAACATAAATAAATAAAATAAAATTAAACTAATAGTAACATGGTATTATTAAATTAATTTGTTTGCGACTCACCCCTGTAAAATCTTTATGTATTGTGCGATTTTAACCGGATTTATTTTAAAGTGTAGATCTTGATAAACTGTATTTTTGAAGCAAAAAACGCCATATTTTTACAAAATACAAGGCCTACTTTGTCAGTTTTTAAGAGTAAATTTTTAAGAATTCATATTATCGATTTTTTTTAAACAAAATAAAAGCACGGCACTGGATTCACCACCCCCTTAAAACGACCCCGACTAAATTTTTTTGATAAATTTTAAGAAAAATGCATGAAAAGAACATAAATAAATAAAATAAAATTAAACTAATAGTAACATGGTACTATTACTTTAAGTTTAATTTTATTTGAATGTTTTTTTCATGGATAACTTGACAGAATAAATTTTTATAGATATTATTGTGCATTTTTCTACTAAAAATATTTCAATAAAATTTAGTAAAGGGTTGTTTTGAGGGGTGGTGAATCCAGTGCCGTGCTTAGATTTTGTTTAAAAAAATCGAAAATATGAATTCTTAATAATTTACTTTTAAAAACTGACCTTGAATTTTGTACAAATATGGCGTTTTTTGCTCCAAAAATACAAGATCTACACTTTAAAACAAATCCGGTAAAAATCGCACAATAAATAAAGACTTACTGTATTATAATTTAGTGTTTTTGTACTTTTTCACTTTTTAAATTAAAAATTAAATAATGACACTCCAACCTCATAAGATATTCAAATAACATTAACATATTGTCAAAACTTAATAAATAACGACCCGATAAAAAATTAAAATAATAAATGGCTATTATTAGTGTCCATAATTTTAACTTTCTCTGTAGAAAATATCCAAATGATATTAAAAAAATTCCTACAATTTCGTACCACCAAAAATTAATTAATTAAACAAATTAAAAATCGTTTATTTGGGACACTCAAAATTTAATTCAATTTATTAGCAGGAAGGTAAATTTCTTTTTATAATTATTTTTGGTAAATAAACATATTCACTTTCACCGCCGAAATTTTTTCTAATAAATTTAAATGAATTTGTCAATAGATATGTTAATGTTAATAGAAAAAGTTTCTATTTGGGATCAAAAAATAGAAGCAGTTTTAATAAAAATATATATTTATTTGTCACCGTATTTTTATGCCAAGCAAAAAATACCAATAATATAATACACTTATAAATCTAGCAATGGAAATATGTACAAATGAAAATGAGCGGTTTATCACGCATGGATTGACTAAAAATGTTTTCTATAGGGGCCTATTTGTGATGTCCTGGTGGTCCGTAGCTGGTGGACAAGCCGGAAGATCCCGAGATGGAGGAAATGGAACTGCCGTGGCTAATACCACCTCCAAGGGAAAGGGAAGATCCCAACGAACCTCCATCGCCGAGGCCTCCAAGGTCCAAGGAACCACCTCCAAGAGATACTCCTCCAAGGGAGCCTCCTCCAAGGGAGCCTCCAGCCAATCCTCCTCCAATACCTCCGGAGCTGAATCCGCCACCTTCTTTCTGGGCCTTGTATTTGATGAAGTACACTTCAGGTTTGCTGGGTTGAGTCGGGATCGGAGCTGGGATATGGATGTCTGGTTGTTCTTCTGGTTTCTTGACCAAAACGTATACAAGAGTCTTTTCTTCGTTTTGTTGTTGGAGTGGGATTACCGGAGCGGTTGGAGTTGGTGGGGAAGGAGCCTTGATAAATATGATTTTGTAGTGTTTTTGTGGTGGAGCTAGTTCAAGAGGTCTTTGTGGACGGAATTCTTCCTGCTCTGGTGGCGGTACATGTACGTAGATGTGTTTTTGTACAGTGGTGGAACCGCCGCCGAATCCTGCACCGCCTCCAAAACCTGCACCGCCTCCAAAACCAGCACCACCTCCAAATCCAGCGCCGCCTCCGAACCCAGAGCCGCCTCCGAATCCAGAGCCGCCTCCGAATCCAGAACCGTCGGCAACATTAAGACTGGATCCTACGGTGGAGAAGCTTGATCCTCCAGTATGGAAGGAAGATCCAGCCCCGGAAGTAGCCAAAGAGGCGCCTGAGAAACCTAATCCACCACCGAAACCATGAGAGGAACCCCCATGGAAGCCGTGCCCATGACCATGAGAAAGGCTTATGGAACTTCCGTGGCTATGACCGTGACCGCCGCCCAAGGAACCCACACCAGGGGTACCATAGAGACCTAGCGGTGGAGATGGGGGAGCTGGGTAACTGTACCCTGACGGAGGCTCAGGGCGAGCAAGACATACTGCCAAAGCAGAAGCTAACTAAAATAAATAAAAAGTTAGTTACACTTCACTTAATTTCACTTGTTTGTTGTTTTGCACTTTTTCTGCGTACTTACCACTAAAATCTTCATGTTTGTTATCCTTTAGGGGCACCCGTGTGTCGCTGAGAGGACTGGAAAGTGTATTTTGATTGTTTGTGGTGTCGTCCGGTCGTTTTATATAGAGTGGTTACAAAAACGTTTTTTTAGGGGGAGGGCGTGTGCCCCGCCGCCAAAGCAGTGGATGATTCGATTTTTTGGCCGGTGAAAATGCAGGTCAAGTCCTCTCACCGAGCGCGGCAAAATTGCCCCGCGGCTATAGTCGCATATGTAAGGTAAGCCAAGCTGGAAGCACTCGGATGTGTATCATTTTTTCCGCGTGGTCAGGCGATGAGGCGCACAGTAAACAAAAATATTGATATTATATTTATTATTATTATTTTTATAATAGAAAATATCTTTCTATAGTTATCTATGGTTTTTTTTTTCATGTTATTTATTTATTTATTTATGTTATTAAGCAAAATAGTGCTGATCTCAATGTTTGAAACCAGAATGCCTACAATTGAGCAATGCTCAAAAAGACCCTCTGGTCGAAGAAAATAGTTATATTTCATCAAAAGACCTTCTTGGTTTTAAGCCTTATGAGTAAAAATGCGACTTGAAAAAAAACGGTCCGTTTTTTTTGTTTTTTTTCAGGTTTTTTTTTCATTGTTCTTTTTCAAATGGTTTTTTTTCACATTTTTTTTCAATATAAGTCCCATTTGCCTAATTTTTTATGTGTTCATGGACTAAAATTAGCCACTAAATGACAATTAGTAAATGTAAATACAGGCTATGCACGCGCCACCACCACCGAATTGACCAATAAGGGCCGCGCTTGTTTTGATTTGGTCCTAAAAAAAGTAACTACATATAATATTTTTGATTCAGCGCTTGATTTTTCAAAAAGCTACCAAAAGCACTTTTTTCATGATTTTTCAAATTCATGTAGAGTGGAATTTTTTTTCAAAAAAACAATAGCAAATTCTTGTAGAATATTCATTGGTGGTTAAGTCAGAACATTCCGTGTACCAAAAAAGAAAGCAAAAAAAAATCGATTTTTTTATTACGGTATTAGTTAGGATTGAGCGAAACTTCAAATTGCTTTTTTACGGCTCCAATACGACCATTATTAACAAAGATACAGCTATCCGAAAAATCGCAAAATTTTTTTTATCCTTTAATTTTTTGTATTAGTGTAGAAGTTTTACATTGGTACTATTGGTTTCTAATGTGGTAAACTACCAAATAATAAGAAATCAGATTTTTTAGTCTCGGTCAAAATTTTCAATAATGAAAATTTAATATATTCTACATTTCACTTTATTATTAATATACATTTTAGTCAAAATTTAATTTTGAAAAAAAAACCGTTTTTTTCTCGGTTTTTTTTCATGTTGTTTTTTCACATCTGAAAAAAAAACCGTTTTTTTACATCTCTACTTATGAGATAAATAACTATTATGTCATTAGATCAAAAGTGAGTACTTCTTGGCCGAATGGCATACAATATGATATCTTCAAGGCACAATTTAATTTGTTAAACAATACATAAAACGTATAATATAATATATAATAATTATTTAAAGTAGAAAGTGAGGTTAGATCGATCTGACAGAAGTCGAATTATTTGATTGGTGGTTAATATTGAATTTGTAGGGCCGCCATAAATAACCTACTCTCTAAAAATAAATTAGTCAAAAATTACTAATTTAATAGTTATTAGTGGCTGCTTTTTCACTTATGGTATCCCCAACATTTAACAGCAAATTCTTATGAGAGTAACCCGATTGGTATAAATTATTTTGAAGTGCCTAGACCATAATCAATCAAAAAACCCAAAATTATTTTTTCAAAGGTTTACGAAACAAAAATGTTGAATTTCAAAAAATCACAAAAAAGTAAATTAGGTAAAATAAAATAAAAATTTAAAAAAAAACATTAAAAAATCAAATTAAATAAAAGAAAATATTACAAATACCTACAAATTATTTTTTTATTTATATCGAATCTTATTTATAAAGTAAATTATTAAAAGATGTAATAGATGTAATAGTGGATATTTTTTTTCAATTTAAAAAATACCAATTACTAAACAATAAAAAACTATTCAAAACAAAGCAGTGGATTTTAAAATATATTATTGCATACATTTTTACAAAAAAGTTACAAAATAAAAAAATGTTTAATATATTCTTAAACCAAAACTAAACAATATTTATTTAGTGAAACAATAGTTACAAGTACAAGGAATAATCCTTTTAAAAATCGTAAAAGTAAATTTAAAAAAATATATGTATATTTTAATAAATCTTTTTTATTTGCTATTTTGTATAAAAATGTTGCATTCTATTGGAGTTTTTAACCAAAACTATACGACGAAAATAGTATATTATGTATCAAGTTTGATAAACGCAATTTTATACACGAATTTAATTTAGGCACGGGCGAGCTTGCGATCGAGTGCTTAAATTAATGAGTGAATAGAAAAGTTTATAAACCAGGTGCATACTATACTTTTTCTACGACAAATACCTATTATTTTCTTAAAATGATTTAAATCCAAATTTTTGATTTAAATCATTTTAAGAAAATAATAGGTATTTGTCGTAGAAAAAGTATAGTATGCACCTGGTTTATAAACTTTTCTATTCACTCATTAATTTAAGCACTCGATCGCAAGCTCGCCCGTGCCTAAATTAAATTCGTGTATAAAATTGCGTTTATCAAACTTGATACATAATATACTATTTTCGTCGTATTCCCCTGGGAATCTGTGTGTCACCGTCAAATGTCAATTTTTTTTATTTTATAAACAGATTATAAAGGTTATAAATCGAAATGTATTTCTTGAAAATTGTGTCAGAATTTAAGTTATAGTTTACTGCTGGCGAAATTAAAAGGTCAGTAAAATGTTCATATAAACTTTTCAAATATTGGCGTTGAGAAACTATTTAATACTTTTGTATTTTTGTATTGAGATAATAAAATAATTTTCACATTTAGTATTATTTTACAAGAAAGGCACTTTATTTTAACGATTGTATGACATTTGACAACTGTCAACTAACTTAAAACTAACTTCAGTCCGTGACTAAAAACCTGTTGCTAACTTCAGCCCGTGACTAAAGCGCCATAAAGCCACAACTTGTCAATGTAAGAGTAGAAAAAGATATTTATATTTTTAAAATACCAAGAGTTTCAATAATATTTATAAAAGGTCGAAAAAAATATATAAAAGTATAAAATCATATATGAAAAAATAATTTTGGGTTTTTTATTTACCTAACGTAACGTAAAGGTACTTATAGGTAAATAAAACACCCAAAATTATTTTTTCAAAAGTTTACGAAACAAAAATGTTGAATTTCAAAAAATCAATTAAGTAAAATAAAATAAAAATGCAAAAAACATTAAAAAATCAAATTAAATAAAAGAAAATTTTACAAAATAATACAATAATTTTTTGTTTATGTCGAATCTTATTTATAAAGTAAATTATCAGAATATGTAAAAAATGGTGGATATTTTTTTTCGAATTCAGAAAATACCAAATACTGAAAAACAAAAAAAACTATTCGAAACAAAGCAGTGCATTTTTAAATCTTATTGCAAAAATTTCATCAAAAAAGTTACAAAATTAAAAAAGGTTAAATATATTTTAAAACAATATTTACTTAGTAAAACAACAATTAAATAGGTGAGATTAAAAACAGGACAAGTCGAAAAATTTTATTTTGACAAATCAATTTCAAAGTTGAAAATGCTATTTTGTGAGAAGATATAAGTTATTTTACAAAATATGATTATTTTTATTTCATAAAATTGTGGAAATATTCTCACAAAAATGTATTTTCGACTAAAACTAATTTTATTAAATAATTCGTCAAAATTTTAACTTTTGTAAAAGTAAATTTAAAAATATATATAAATATATTTTAATACATCTTTTTTTATTTGATATTTTATATAAAAATATTGCATTATATTGTAGTTTTTAATAAAAAACTGTACGACGAAAAAAGTTTTTTTTATTTGTAGTTTTTATCTAAAAACTTATTTTCCTTTCTAGATACTCATCATTATTGTTTAAGATGTAAATCCACTAATATAATTGATTTCATAATTAACACTATTTATTTATATTGAATGCAGTAGGTACTGTGCGCGATGGTCAATGTTGCGAAGAAAGTGACAATGCGGACGGACATACCGTACCATCTTGAAACCGCCCAATAGCCTTGAACGTAACAATTTCGATTTTCATTTCGTTTCATTTCATCCGGCGAGAAGACGATCTTTAATCGAGCGAAACGAAGAAGTAAAAAAAATAAAAATATGTTGCGGTAATTTGCTTACGTTTAAATTAAAAAGCACTTTCGTTGAAATTAAAACTCACTAAATTGGTCAAATTGTTATGTAATTTTAGGACATTTTAATATTTAAAACTACATGTTTATAATAGGTATATAATAACATGTACATAAATAGAGGTTTAATTGTTTTAAGTATCTAAAAATAAATAGTGTAAAATCAAAAAAATAATACCTAATAAAAATTACGCAGGAAAATGCCATTTTTGACCGCACTATACGTATCAAAATTTATTTGCTCCCCATTGCTAAATGTTATTATTAAAGCTACAAATTTGGTTAACCTAGAAAATTGGTGGCATTTTTTATTTTGTTTAAAATGGTAAAAACAGAAAAACAATTGAACGTCAGTTTTCCGAAATATTTACAATAATAACATTTTTTTAATGGGACATATTTAAAAATACAATTTAAATTGTAACAAAAAATTAATATTGCATAACTACCCTAAACTTAAAAATAAACAATAGGCACTTGAACTTTCTGATGGTTGTTGAAATAAACAATTTATTACTTTATAAATAACAATCAAAATGAAATAGTCAAAATTCTACTATTTGAATTAATAGCAGCATTTTTTACTAATGAAATAGTTGTTTTCACTTTTAAATAGATATTTTTAACTACGAAAATAGTTAAAGTTTGAATAATTTAAGATTAGTCACCATCTATTTCTGA